AGGATTATATGTTTTTTCGGATTTCGATCCGATGTCGGGGCGGTCCCGAGGAATGTTTGTATGCTTGATGTCTTTGTGATTCTTGCATGTGTTTGTATTGTATGTTTCCGAACTTCGGTTCGATGCCGGGGCGGTCCCGAGGAATGTTAGTATGTTATCGGATTACGGTCCGATGTCGGGCGGAACCCGAGGAATGTTTAAGTGTTAATGTTATGTGCTTAGATTTATGTGTGTTACTGATTATGCTCTTATGTATTCCGAGATTTGTTCGATGTTGGGCGAGGCTCGATGCCGGGCGAGGCCCGATGCCGAATAGGGTTCGATGTCGGGCGGGGCCCGATGCCGGGAAAGCTGATGTCGAGCTTGACTCGATGAAGCAGGGGCGGGGTCCAATATATGTTTATGTGTTATATGTATGGTATGTGGTAGTTGGGGAGACTCACTAAGCTTCGTGCTTACTGTTTTCAGTTTTGGTTTTTGGTACTTCCGCTAGTAAGGGGAAGAGCTCGGGATGACTGCATGGCACACACCACAGTTTTAGCCTGGGATGTTTTTAGACTATGATATTTTGATATGGTTTTGATACAGTAATTGGATATGATGTTTTGGATACATGATTGGTGATTTTATTATGAAATTGATGGTTTATGGTTTTTCGTAAATGATCTTAAAAAGAAATTTTTGGTCTATATTTTTGGGATGTTTCACTAACATCCTATATACCAGGATACACATCTAACAAATCACTACATCATGACAACATCCTATATACCAAGATACACATCTAACAGATCACTACAACATAGCAACATGCGGTAAACCAGGATATCAATCCAATGAGTCGGCCTTGGTGCCTTCGACCCGTAAGTACAGTGAGGAAAACTCACCTCTCAATCTGAACAATAGCTGATGAGGTCCTGACTCCGAATCTCAGCTCTAACTGTCGCCTATCCATCCAAATGACCAATTCTCAAACACAATCCAAAATACCCATAGGTCAAATTTGGTCAACCCTGCTCAAAGTCAAAGTCAACGATCAAGGTCCCAAAAGTCAATATCCCCTCCCAGCGGAGTACGCCCTCCATACCAAGAGAGTACGCCCAGCGTACTCTGATGTTGACCAAAAAGCGGGGAGCTGACCGCGTACGCGCATCGTACCTCCAGCTACGCCCAGTGTATGCAGCCCAGTCCCAAAACTCCATTAAGAGCTTATTTCATTAAGCCCTTCCGTCCAAAACTCAGATCCAAGCCCAAAATGATGTCCTAAGTCATAAAGTTTCCAACTTTATGAATTTGCATGGCTATTAAGTGCTTATTGTCCAAAACCTTATGTTCTTAACCGAATAAGACCATCTAACACATGCACGGGTTACATACAACACTCAAGATCATATTTTTATGGTTCATAATAGCTCCATAATGGATAAAGTTTCCAACTTTATCCATTAGAATGGTCCCAACAAACAAGATCTAGTCTTTAAGTCTCAAAGGGACCCAAAAAGTGCATCTTTTCAACTTAATCTATTAAGTCCAAGTCTCTAACCTTCATATCTGAATCAAAATGATGTTTAGATGGATAAAGTTTCCAACTTTATACATTACAAGGTCACAAACTTTCAAGATCTAAACTTTATGCACTTAAAGTGACCAAAAGCTCATAACACCCAAAACTAGCTAGATCTAACAATTTCATCATCAAGATTCAAACTTTATACCTCTAGAAGAAAGATCAAGGTGAACAAAGTCTGGATCTACAAGCTCCAATGCAACCAACACTTCTTCAATGAGCTCCTTCTTCTCTAAAGTGCACCAAGAACACTCCAAAGCACTTAAAAACACCTACTTTTAGCTCACAAGGCTCAATCTAGGGTTAGCGTTTCAAGAGAGGGTGTTGGAGAGGTGGAGGGTGAGAATGGAATGGGTTTGGGGGAGTTAAGGAGCTTAAATAGGGCTCAAACCATGAAAATAGGGTTTGGGCACTGATCGCGTACGACCAACGTACTCAATTTACGCCCAGCGTACTCAGGCATACTCAGTACGCCCAACGTACGCAGCTAACCCAAAAATTGTCCTAACTTCAAACGGCCATAACTTCTTCGTTCCAACTCCATTTTCGACGTTCTTTATATCCACGGAAATTGAATAGCTCTACAATATTATCTAAATATCTTGGACTAAAAACTTCTCGAACAAAAATCCATATTTCACGCAAGAACTCGGCCTATGACTTTTCCCTTTCTACCCTTCGGCTCAGAACACAATTCAAGGGTAAAATATATTAACTATCATTACCTCCTTCCACAAGGACTAAACTTTGCCTCCTTAAGGCCCAAAACCTCACACAATCAACTTCTGGTCCATGGCTCGGAAATGACAGGAAACAGGATGTTACAGAACTGAAGAACCGAAGATGCACAACAACACCCTCATACCTTGTACTGCTCAATCTCGTGAATCGACCATCGCCAAGACAGGTAAATCCTTAACCAGCAACCCCAAAATCTCCAAGTTTGACCCTAAGTCAAGCTCGTCTAAAGTTAACGGTCAAAGGTCTAAGTCAATGTCACGTTGTGGGCCCTTTTTGGCCACGTCGTTGGAATGCAAGGTCAAAAAGTCAACATGCAGGACATTGCCACGTCGTGGGCCCTCTTTGGCCACGTCGTGGCAATGCTAGGACAAAACAGTTGCGATTCCAAGCACCGCCACGTTGTGGAAAACCCCTAGGCCATGTCATGGCTTCTGGCAGAATGCCAAAATCTCCATTAAGTGCTTAATTCCTTCAGATCAAGGCCTATAATCTCATATCTAATTCCTTTTACTGACTTAATGGATAATGTTTCCAACTTTATCCATTAGGATTCCTTCCTAAAGCTAGATCTACAAACCTAAGTCCTTAATAGCATAAAACCTTTCCCAAGACATGCATGTATTCAATAATAAGATCAAGATGCTAACTTTCCCAATCCAACAAGATTATGAGATGATAAAATAACCTCAAGAGGTGTTGGAGTTCATTCAACTCCAAAGCAGAAGATCACATGGACCAAAAGGGATATAAATGATTAAACTACAAGATCTAACAAACTAGAGATCTAGATGGAAGCTTTTTACTCACGATGATCCAGAAATGAAGTCCTTTTGCTAAATCTACACTTGAGCTCTTTACCAAAACACTTTGCAAGAACTTGGTCTTCAAACTCCACACCCAAAATATGATATATGATTCTTCAAATGGCCAAGAACACCAAAGGCATTCAAAAGGGCTAGGGTTTTCGAAATGGAGAGGTTAGAGGCTGAAAAGAATGCCCTAACTTGAAGTTAAGGTGTTTAAATATGGAGAAAATCCTAAAAACTCATGAGCTTGGGTTGCAGCGGCCGCCACGTCGTGGCCCCCATCAGACGCACATGATCTTTAATTGCCTTGCCACATCATGACACCATTCCTGTCACGTTGTGGCATATGGTTTTCCTCAAGAACCATGCATTTGACTCATATATACCATTTATTGATCCAATCTGGGAATCAAGTGTTACAACATACATGGTTCGTTTTATCAGGATACCATCCTCCTCATCTATGTTGCTTCGTTGATTACTATTTATTCTGAAGACGGAGAGGCATGTGAATTAACAAGATATAAAATGGGTGATGCTTTATGGAATCGTGTGGAAGTTGAGAAAGGGAGAGCATATGTGGATTTGGGGGAGATTTAGATGATTTATCCCCTTAATAGGGAATCGTGTGAGAAGTTTATTGATTCGATTGACAGTGTGTGGTTCCATATCTCTGATCGCATTGCTTTCTTCTTGAAGCAAGAGGGTCATCTTGGAAGTTAATTTACGAGACATGATTTGAACAGAAACAAAAGGTATCAAGCTTTAGGGCAAAAATGAAACATCTAGGGCCAGGTGCTCCAGCAACTCAAGCAACCGTTCATCATCTTCACCACCGAAGTTTTGATGCAGAAAGGTTCAGCATGTACATGTCTTGAAGTTGTTCCATGGGTAGGTGACTTTTGTTTGCCATTGAGAGAGGAGTCAATGAAACGTGGCATTCAATTTAACAATTTGACCTAAATATCACCGGGTTACCCGATCATTTCTTCAATAATGACGTTTTAAATCAACGAAAATCTACTTCATTCCTTAAAGTGCAAAAATAATAATTGGGTGACCTTTTAAAACAAATGTGAAAACTTTGGTGGGTTAAAATGACATTATTAAGAAAGTTGTCTGACACGACACGTCATGGTTTTATTTAACGCATACACGACACAACACGATGTCATGTTTTTTTAACCAACACGAAAACGAACCAATTAAAAAATAACAAACACGACAAAGATAAGTAAAATAACAATTAGTTTATTTAATTAATACTTAACACGACAAACAAATGTTAAATCGGTCAATCTTGTATCGAGTTTTGAACACAAACATGACACAACACGACATCGTGTTCTTTACACTAAACACGAATTCGAAGTGTCCTAATATCGTTGTGTTGTCTATTTCTGTTGTGTTGTGTCATGAATTTTCACTCCTAACTTTGTGTGCTTTTTAAATTTATTATGTTTTATGAAAAATAGTGTAAAACTTTAAGTAAATTATAATAAAATCTTTCAAAACAGGTTCAATCGATTTTAATAATAAGAGATATATAGACGGACGGCATAGACTTGGTAATATAGCTTCTCAAATGAAGTTGACTTGTTGCTTTGTAAATTGTAATACGCCTTCACGTCGATGCAACACACAAGTTATATTAAAATGAAAATGAATTAAAAAAATATTTTAACGGATTAAATTCAATAGCGTCCAAATCTTATGGTTGACAATGTTGCACCATTAGTTTCCCCTGTTGGCATATTTTTTGGGTGATAGAAATAACTCAATAAGTCTATTAAGATATATGAAACTTGATCAGCATTCATCATTCAAATGATTCTTAAAACTAAAATCATTCATATCAAAAGATGACTTTGTATACTTTTTTTTTTTTTGCTATACAAATTTCATATGTAATGTAACAAACTAAGTAGTGCTCACGACTTTAGGACTCCCTTTCAAACAAACCAACCATTTATTATTTTCTCCAACTCCAACAATCGGATCCAAAAGCCTTCTCTTCAACCCATCCCTTATCGATCTCTCAAAACCACCATTAATCGGCGTTGACAATGGCGACTCCTCCTCCACTTCCAAAATCTCAACGCTCGCATCTTCCACAATCTTGTTCAAAACCTCAAACACTTGGCTCATTTTCGGGCGCATCCTTGGTTGCCGATGCAAGCATTTGTTGGCGACGCCGGCTAGCTTCTGCGCTGACTTCACCGAGTAATTTCCGGCAAGCCGAGGGTCTAGAATCCGCTCGAATTTGCTCAGGTCACGAGACAGATACGGCCTCACCCATTCCAACAGCTTTTGCTCGTTTTTCGGTTTGTTCCGGTCCATCGGCCGGCGGCCGGTGATGAGCTCGTATAGAAAGATCCCGTAGCTCCATACGTCACTTTTGTATGTTAGGCGTCCTGTTTGAACGTACTCTGGAGCTGCGTATCCAACCGTTCCGACTACCTGTGTCGAATATATTATCACAAAATTCAAAATTAGGGTTAGAACAGGTACTTGAGTTGTGTTAACCCGACCCGACCCGAGTAGAAAAAGGTGAACTATATGAGGATTTTAAACATACTGCTGTTGAAACATGGCTTATCCCGTCCGATGGGCCGAGCCGGGCCAGCCCGAAATCCGACAGCTTTGCGTTCCAATTCTCATCCAAGAGAATGTTTGAAGATTTGAAATCTCGGAAGATTATCTACCAGAAAGAAGAACATGAATGAATCAGTAACATGGTATTAATATGATCCACAAAATTAATGAAACTGGGGTGGGGTACCTGATATTCCATTCCTTCATGGAGATAAGCTAAGCCTCGAGCAGCATCTTGCGCGATTTTGAGTCTAGTTGACCATGGAAGAGGCTTCTGAAACCTGTTACACAAATGATCTAGAACGCTCCGATTAGGCATATATTCGTACACAAGAAGACGTTGGATCCCTCTTTCATCGTCTTCAGCACAATACCCCACAAGTTTGACCAAGTTTGGATGGTCAACGAACCCAAGAACGTTCACCTCCGTCACCCATTCCTTGTGACCCTGAAAAATTAATCAAAATGGGTTAAACCCTCAATCAATATCATGTTTCCATCTTGAGTTACGTTTGCGTTTGCGTTTGTTATAAGGGATTACTGATGAGTGAGTCCAATTGTCCAAACGCAGTACAACAATATTTGACTACTAAAAGCTACGCAAGCTTCAACTACTCAAAAAGATTTTCATGTGTTGATGATAATAAAAGAAGATGAAAGATGAAGAAACTGAACCTGCAATCCCCTTCTGCTAAGTTGTTTGACAGCTACATCAATCTTGTGACCAGAATCGTTAGGATTTCGTAATACACCCCGATACACACCACCAAACCCACCTTCACCAATCATGAGGGCCCGGCTAAAGTTCTTTGTGGCTGTTTTCAGCTCACCAACTTCAAATTCCCGGAGATTATTGTGACTCTTCCCACTTGGGTTTTGAGTCAAACTTGTGAATGAAACCCTTGTGGATGACTCTCTGCTAATATCAGATATATCCATTGATGTAAACTCGGACCCTGATTTTCTCCCTTCTTCACCATTCCACAACGATATGGAGGATTGACCCGTACCTGACTTTGTGCACTTCGGTTCACCATTGGAGAAGGAGAAACACTTCATAGCCTTCATCATTCACCACCCATTAAATAATAGATTTCCTAACAAAAAAAAATGTTTTGGGGAATTAGGATTTCATCCATGGATCATATAACTTGAACGGTTATAAACTATCTATCTTTCCCAAATTAAACGAGCTTTCTCCGTTCTATATTAACAAAGAAAAAACATCTAATTTGGTATTGGACGGTGTTTTGAGTTCTTCAAATCATCGACTATAATCAATAATTCACAGGAGACCACATGTACCTATTATAAAGATCACAACCGATTTCCACTAAAATCAGTAAGTGCAATCAACTTATGAACAACATACAAGATAATTAATAGAAAGAACATGAAGAAATACCTTGCAGTGAATTTTTGAGAGAAATCAAGAACTATTGGAAAAACCCTAATTTAAGGAGAGATTTGAAGAAGGAAACCCAGATGTTATGGAATAGAAAGGGGAAATTGATAAAGTGATTACAAGGATAGGCAGCTAGAATTTAGCTTACCAAACACATCGTCTTATCACCCAATGAAACCCCCACAGATAGATGATGGTGATGCAGAGCATGAATATATGGAGGGAAATAGGGGAGAATAGTGACGTTTTTATTTTTTAAATTAATTTACCCTTTTCTTCTTTCCTCACCGGTGGCGGTGTAAGCTCAAATCACAAACAAAATATAGATTTTTAATAATTAATTAATGATTATACATATCAAAATTGCTTATTTAAGAATTTTAGAGTGATTTATTTGCTCCTATTGCGCAATTATTGTCTGAATCCAATTGTTGTAGGGTTAGGTTTTTTATTCGAAATATTATTTAAGTTTTGTTGCGTGTAATTATATTCATGAAATAGTTAACTGATATTAGTAGGAGATTTTCAGCAGCTGATGGTAGGGTGAGGTGGGAATCCTAGAAAAGCCTAGAAAGTGCCTTAGAGGAATGGGTGCACTATTTAGTGTTGTATATTCGTTTGAGAGAGGGTATAAATGATTGGACCGGACGGTAGTAGGACATGAGTAGTTACTTAGAGGATCGGAACGATCCTTGAGGAACGTACGGGTAGGTGTGGAAGATAGTATTGTGCCCGTACTACTGAAAGTATAGGATCTGTACTCGAATCGAGGAAAATTTTGGGGATTCTAAGGAGCTGATTGAGGGTAAATTGTATGGTTTGGCACCATGGTTCATTACAAGTGTTTCCGTCTTATTCGATTTGTCGGTTGTTGTTGTTCAGGCCGTCGATGGGTCTGGTGATTGTTTGGGCCTTAGTGGCATTGATAGATTGGGATTGAATAGTGCAGACATATGTGAGTTAGTTGATTTCGAAGACCCGAGGGCCTTGTTTGAGGTAGTTCCAGTTGATTCGTAGGACTCAAGAAGGAAGCGACTGTGATGATCGGCTCAAGGGTTGCAGCCAGAAGCTGGGTGATTGCCAGACGGATTGGGATGTCACTATCTTCGATGGGTGTTATGTCGTTCAGCTTTCCGTATTCGGAGGAAAGGAAGATCATACATACGATTTTCAGAGTTGAAATATAGACCCAACATGGTGCTAGTTGGTTGCGGTTTGTTAGCGGCAAGTATGGCAGTATTGGAATGCATAAGAGGATTCTTGTCGTATAGTTGCCTTGAGATGGGATCAAGGGTCTGCTTCTTTTGAATTTGGTTAGATCCGACGCTAGTTGATTGTTCCAAGTGATCGAGGAATGTGAATTGAGAGCGACAACTTTTGTTGTCTCTGATGTATCCCGACTATGAGAACGTTGCCTCTTATATTTATCAATGATCCTCGTGATGAATTGATGGTTGGGGATTTGCAGGCGGAGAGTGTGGTAGTACATTTGTTTCTAGATAGGAAGTCGGTGTTATGAATGGACTACCAACATTATTGTTTGTGCATCTGTATGGGATTATTGATGCTAGAGGCGGTTATGATTGGGAGGTTTCCGAGGTCTCCATTTGAGATTCGAAATCTTTTTGAGTTTGCTTGGTCTTAATCTGGAATATCATCTTGCGTTGTATTATACATTCCAAGGGCCAGGAATGTTATGTATTTGGTTGAGCCGATTTGAGTTTTAGTCGGTTTGCAATGTCAGTTGGTGGTAGTTCGAACCCTAGTAGTGGAGAACTGGGTATTCTTCTTGAAAGATCATCGGTCTGTTTGGACAGTTGGTTTCAGAATAATGGGTCATAGGAATCTATGGTTCGGGTATGCGAGACTTTGGTTCAAGATTTGGTCAAGTCGGGGGTGCAAAGTAAGTTGCCATCAGATGTATGTGCTCAGGAATGCATGAGTTGTCTTCGCGACAAGAAGTTGTTGGTCAGGGAGCTCGTTGTAGCCAGTGGTTCCTTTCGGGAATGTCGATGTACAGATTGAGAGGCGTTTGGTTCGCTCAAGTTGAGAATTGGTTGTTGGGGGATTTAACAGCTCGTTGTATAGATCGATATCCATAATCTAGGTTGGGCAGTTGTTGATTGGTAAATCAACTTCAAAGTTTGGTACGATTAGTTGGGCATAGGTTTTGTTCAGCGGTGAATTGGATCATTGGATTAGTTGTCAATGCATTCTCGATCGTTGGTCGTTTAGTTCATCGTCAATAGTTGGAATTCTTCAAAAGTTTCGAGCTTTATCAGTTGAAGTTCAATAGATGCGTCAATCTATTGTTAAAATTTGTACATTGTACATCTTGATTTCTTGGTTTGGGTACCCTCAATTGTTGGTTATGGAAGCATTGTTCATAGCGGGCTCGGGTTTGGCAGATGTCCTTGATTATTGGAAGTTTGGATGCTGAGGCAGGGTTGTTTAATTTTTCAGGTGTGGCTTTGGATCTGCGTAGAATTCAATTTTGGCATGTCGCGACGGAAGGGTTGGTATTTTGGATTAATCCGACCAGAGTTTGACAACAGTTTTGATGGCTTTGGAAATTTTATCGAGCTATTTGCGTATTGGTGAGATTTGTTTGGTTTCAATCAAGGTACGGGATCTTAGGTGTTGTTTGTTTTTTTAAAAGCGAAAACAGTTGAAGTCTGCAGAGCACATTTGCAACCCTCTGTGGTAGAATAGGTGGACCAAACGACTATAGTATGTAATAAGAAGTCTGTTTGTTTTTTAACGTCTGCAAACTGTTGCAATAAACTGAAATTAACTATTCAATAGTTAAAAATAAATCTAAGTAAAAAATTTATTTAGCTTAATCGTATGCAAATCAAATATAAAGATCATTTTGATGATATGATTTTCAAAGATGTTTCTATAAAAGAATTAAACATAATATTTGCTAAATAACAATAAATAAAATTGTTAATTTAGCTAAAAACATGTTAATTTTTGTTAAAATTTTGAAGACGATGATTATTTTTCTGGTAACTTCAATAAACTTGGTAATTTTAATGATTAACATTATAATTTATTCATATTTGGTTATAGACAACATAACAGGAAAAATATTTATATGAAATTTACCAAACGGTTTTGAAATTATTTAAAATTATATAACAGTTTACATACTCTTCAAATAATATTAAAATAATAAAGATGTTGAAAAAAATTAAAACAAATATAAGTTGAATAATATAACTTAAAGTAAGTGAAAAGTGGTTTGAAGAGGACGGTTCACGCATCACAGGCGCAACAGTTTTTAAGTTAGAAGTATTCCAAAAAACAAATAGCTGTAAAAGGCCAAGTGTTGTGCGTGTGATGTGCGGCGCAGCAAGAAGTGGTTTTTCTGAAGAGAAAAAAACAAGCAACACATTAGTTTTCGGCCATTCGTGTGGATGTTTCTATTAGCAGTTGAAGTTCTTCATTTCGGTTAGATCTATTGGTACCACACCCTTATGGGTAAGGGTTGTGAGGAAGAAGGAGTGTAGTAGATCTAAGGTTGGTTATGTGTTTTCCCTTGGGGATATGTGTAGGTTAAATAATATAGATTAGCATGGTTCTTAATTGGTTTGTAGCCCTTAAATTGAAACAATAATGCAACGGCCTATCTCATTCTCTAGTTGTGTGCGACCATTTTTTCGCCTAAAATTGCATTGGTAGCTGCCTATATTGTGAAAGGAATTGTGCGTGATAGAAGGGTATGACCCATATTCGTGTTCAGTTAACATTGAGAGGGGTGTTGATTGGGTCCCTACAAGTCGGTGGATTAATGGTTAGGGTATCTTTAGGCCCCTGTGGTGCTGGTCGTGAGCTTCCAGGACAGTGATGGAATAACGGCAAGATCGGCATTGTATCGTGAGCCTATCGTTTTAGTGGTCAGAAGGTGTCACGATGTATCGTGGACCAGTGGTTGTATGATTCTTATGGGCGGGACCCGGTAGTCGTTTGAATGAGAGTCTTAGATCTTGGAGCGTTATTCCTATTAGCATGCTTGGGTATTAGTGCATTGTTGGGAGTCGGGAGACTCAGTGACCAGCTGGTTTAGATCTTAAGGATGGTAGAAGTGTGTTTTGGTGGGTGTATTAATCATGCATCAGAAGTCCCTTGATGAATGTTTGCAATTGGGGACCGCGTTTTTCTTGAGGATGGTTTATTAAGGGTTTGTTACCAATGTTGGGTATTGGTTCTAAAACCTCGAGTCTTGAGGTTCGTTGTAAATGTCTCGAGTGATTTGTCAGGTGAATGTGCACCCGAGCTAATAAGATATTCAGATGCAACGTGAAATTCTTGGATGAACCCTCATTATGCTCGTGGGAGCAGTGGGTTGGCGATAACTTGTCAGGAAGTCAAGCGTATGTTTAAGGTTTTTAGGAACAACTTCGGATTTGAGATTTGTGGAAATTTACGATCGGGAGGTTTTAAGTATTTTTTCGGCATGAATTGGTGGTGTTCCTGGTCAAGGAACTAGGGGTAGGTATGAAGAACGGATGATCATTAGTTTCAAGGTATAGTTTCTGAAGTTTAAACTGAGGAGTTCCCAGTTTCGGGAAATATATTTATGGAGTTGGTTTGTGATTGTAGTTTTGAGAGTTTCTCAATTGAGCGGTTATCACTGGAAATTCGGTCTTGCAGGTTAGTTGTGACAAATGTCTTTGTCAAGTCGCCTTTGTTTCCAAGTGAAAGGTTTTCGACAACAATGAATGGACAGAGATTTTGTTTCCCATTAGAATCAACAAGATAATTCATGGTCGGAAGGGTTTTCGTTCGGTTTAGGTTGTGAAGTGGAGTCGTATTGGCAGTAATTCATAATGGTTGTGTATGTCGAGAAGTCAGACAAGGTTTTGGGGTTTTCAGATTTCGGGTAGAGTAGTGATAGATGTTCTTTAGTGGTTAAAGTTGGTGAGGCAAGGATCCATTCGTCGTCGGGGTATGAGGGCCCTGATTAGGATGGGTTCGATTATAGTTTTGGAAGGTCGTTGTATGTGTGAGTCGACTTCTCAGTCCGTATCAGGGTTGTGGGAGAATCATCCAGGTTGTCTGGCATATCTGGAAGGTAGTAAGGAGTGATTTCGAGGACGGGATCTAATTTAAGTGGAGGAGAGTTGTAAAAACTTGTTTTCCAAGTATCCCTTTTATACCCTTATTATGTGAAATGTT